AAACTGCGTCCTCGCTCCCGCCCGCTCGTCCCCGGGCTCCCTGCCCGCGCCCACGGCGCCCGGCCATCCCGCCTCGGTCCCTCGGGAGCGGTTCGTCGATGGCGGACCGGAGGTCACCTTGTGCGGGGCGCAGAGCCGGGGTCCAGCCTACTCAGCGCATAACGAGGGTGGCACTGGGGGGCTTTCTGTTCAGATCACCCGAGGATCGTGGAGGCAGCAGCCCTGGGGAAATCTGACTTATCCCCACCTTATGCTACGTGACCTTCGCTGGAAGGAGAGCAACTTGTGGAAAGCGACACCTGGCGCATCTTTTTGACCTGGACCGCCTCGTGATACAAAGGGTTTTTAAAGTTAAGCGTTATTTGTAATCACTACATGGGTGTATCACACAACACGCTCATTATTTTATTTTTTTGGTGGAACCGGGGATTGAACTCAGTCCCTAGTGCTTGCCAGGCCAGCGCTTATTCTACTGAGCCATCTCCCCAGCCCCAGCAGCCCCATTTTAAAAAAGAAAAAAAGGAAGCCCCAAATTATGGCAAGATACAGTGTATAAGAGAATTTGAATCAAGCTTGGCTTAGGGGCTCTTCGCCTATAAATCCAGCACTCAGGAGACTGAGACAGGAAGATCTCCACAAGTTATCGAGGCCAGCCTGAACAACACAGTGAGACCCTGTCTCCAAAATAAAGCAAAAGAAAATGAAGCACAGCAGTTACCTGGGTTGTTTTGCCTACAAGTTCCCAGGCTGGGTTGCAACCGAGGTAAGGAAGAACTGGTGTGTGGACGTTGGAGGAGCAAATGGGAATCTAACAGTGTGCTTGGTTACCACAGGGCGGCTGGAGAGCCAGGCCCGGCGGCGTGCTGGTGCACCCTGGAGTCCCAGCACTCAGGAGGCTGAGGCAAGAGGATAAGGTCCAATCCTGGTATTTTCCCTCCTTGTGTTTTGTTTTTCAAGCTGGCCCTAGTTTATCATTTTCATTTTGTTATTTTTTGAGACAGGGTCTCATCATGCAGCCCAGGCTGGCCTCCAACTGAGGAGATCCTCCTGCCTCGGCCTCCTGAGTTCTGTGCTCATCAGTGTGCCCCCCCATCCACGTGATTTTCACAAGCTACAGTTTGTAAACCACCCGCTGGCCGCTGTTGAGCTTCTTTGGCCAGCATCGCTGGCCCCGTGGGATCCTCTTGTTCCTGGCCCAGAGCTGTGCAGGAAACCTCTCCCTCCACGTTTACCCACTGGTGACTCGGTGAGGCTGCAGCCCGCGTGTTTCTCATGAGGTCGTGCGAGGGTGTGCCAGGTGACCCGCAGGGGGCGGCATGAGGCTGCAGGAGCCAGGCCTCTGCTTTCTTTCCCAAGCTGTGCCACATCTCGGGTTTTCTTCTTACCAGAGCTGAAGTGTAACAACACGCCTGGTGCTCCTAGCGCTCAGGCTTGTGAATGGCAGAACACTACGTCTTTTCGCTTTTGAAGCAGGGCCTCTGTATGTAGCCTACGCTGGCCTTGAACTCTCAACGATCCTTCTGCCTCGGCCTCCTTAGTGCGGGGATAGCAGGCCTGTGTCACCACCTCGGGGTTATACCATATAGACCGGCATGCAGGAGGCCGAGGCAGGATGGTCATCACTAGTGTGAGGGCAGCCTGCGCTACATAGTGAGACTCTGTCTCAAAATACAAGAGGAAAGAACAGGAGTGTACAGGTTCTCCCTGCCTTTTCCTGGCGGGGGCCAATCTTGCCAGTCAGAATCACCGAGTTCTGCCCTCCCTCGCTCTTTCATGGGCTTCCTTCCCTTACCCCAGCCGGTAGAGCTGCTGCTAAGTTCTGTTCTTGGCCCCCTTTTCTCTCTTGGGCAATTCCAGGTACTTCTGTCACAGTGGCAGACACTCTGTGACTACCAGGCCCAGGGCCTCCCCATGTACCCCAGGCTGGCCTTGAACTCTTCCTGCCTCAGCCTCCGACGATGTGCTAGGAGGACAGGCCCCTGCCAAGCCCTTCTGACTCCACCCGGGCATGGCAGTCCCTAATCACATCAGGTGGCTGCATGCCCCGTGCCTGTCCTTTTCCTGAAAACTGCTGCTCTCTGGGTGGCCTGAAAGGAAAGTTAGAAGGCCTCCTCTGGGTCTCCGGAGTGATTCAGGCTCCAGCCGATAGTCTCAGAGCAGAACTGCTGGAGTCCTGGGTAGCGCTCCGAGTCTGTGCTGGGAGAGGGGTGAAGTAGACCCAGGAATTCCTGTCCTGCAGGCTTCTCCTTGAGGCTGCCCTGCAGGAGAGTCTCTTAAGGCTGGGCGTGGTGGCCCAGGCTGTCATCCCAGCATTCAGGAGGCTGAGGCAGGAGGATCACCTCGAGGTCACAACCAGCTGTGATGAGATAGGATCTTACTCTGTGGCCCAGGCTGGCCTCAAACTTGCAGTGAGCCTCCTGCCTCAGCCTCTAGTGTGCTGGGCTGACAAGTGTATGCCACCCACCACGCCCAGCTCGCCTGCCTGTCCATCCTTCCCTCCTCCCTCCCTCCCATCCTCTCTCCTTCCTTCCTTCCTTCCTTCCTTCCTTCCTTCCTTCCTTCCTTCCTTCCACATTCCTGGGAACTGAATCCAGGACTTTCACACTGAGCTACATCCCTCGACCTTTTTGTTCCTGTTTTGACACAAGGTCTCACTAAATTCCTCCGGGCTCTGCAGTTGTCCTGCCTCAGCCTCCCAGCGCTCAGATGACGGGCACGCGCCATGCCTGATTCCACTGTGAATTCTTAACTTCGGTGGAAATGCCATGGTTAGGGAGAAAGCCACACTATGTTCCCTACGAGGCTGACACTGGGGAAGCCAGCGAAGGCCACCAGGGCTCTGCTATCTTTGCAAATCTTGCATAAAGCTAAAATTGACTCAAGATAAAAACCATAAAAACCGAATCACTGAAAACAAAGAAGTGGGGCAGGGGCTGAGGTTGGCTCCGGGGCTGCTCCAGGCAGCTGATGCCTTCTCAGGACTCGGGCTGCCCTCAGAGCCCGGGCAGTGCCATCGCCGTCCTGGGGGGCACGGCTGTGCTCGGCGCACTTGGCCAAAGGCCTCCGGGCCGTGGGCCCAGGCAGGACGGACCCCTCGCAGAATTACCGTGCTGGGCTCCCGAGCCTCAGCCCCTGGAGTACTGGGGTTACAAGTGTGTGCCACTCTGCCTGCCCCTTCTGCTAACTGCAGGCTGTCCCTTGGCTGTTTAAATGTCATCTGTTGTGGGCCTGGGAGATGGCTCAGTGGAATAAGCGCTTCCCTGGCAAGTGCAAGGGCCTGAGTTCAATCCCCAGTTCCGCCAAGAATAAATAAATAAATAAATAAATAAAAGTTATCTGTTTCCTCCATCCCTGAGAATGAAGAATAGTTCACGTCTTATGATTGATTTTCATATGGGGATTGAACCCACTCCAAGCTACATCCCTAGCCCGTGTATTTATTTATTTACGAGCAGGGTCTCACTAAATATCATCAAGTTGCCTGTGCTGGGCTCAAATTTGCCCTCCTCCTGCCTCAGCCTCCCAGAGTGCTGAGATCCCAGGGGTGTGCCGTCTTGCCAGGCTGAGAAAAGCCTTTCAGGGCTTGGTGAGCCAAGTTGGATGGGAATGGAGGGGAGGGGAGGGAAGGAGGAGGGGGAGAGGAAGAGAAGGGAGAGGAGGGGAAAGGAGAGGGGAGAGAAGGGAGGAGAAAGGAATGGAGGGGAGGGAAGGGGGTGGGGGGAGAGGTGGAGAAGGGAGGGGAGAGGAGAGAAGGGGAAAGGGAGAGAAGGGGAAGGAGAGAGGAAGGGAAGGGGAGAGAAGGGAGGAGGGAGAGAGGTAGGGAAAGGAAAGAAAAGGAAGGGAAGGGAGAGGGGAGGGGAGAGAAGGGGAAGGGAATGGAGGAGGGGAGGGGAGAGAAGAGGAGGGAAAGGGAATGAGAGGGAGGAGGAGGGAGAGGGGAGGGGAGAGGAGGGGAAGAGAAGGGGAGGGAAGGGAGAGGGGAGCGAAGGGGAGGGAAAGGGAATGGAGGAGAGCGGAGGGAAGAGGAGGGAGAGGGGAGGGGAGAATAGGTGGAGAGAAGAGGAAGGGGAAGGGAGAGAAGGGGAGGGAAAGGGAATGGAGGGGAGGGGAGGAGGAGGGGGAGAGGAGGGGGGAGGGAGGGGGAGTAACAAAAATGAAAAAGGTGCTGTGCACAGTTCCCAGCAATGTCTATGATCACTGCGATCGAATAAAAGTCTCTAAAATATTACTTTCTTTCTTTCTTTTTTTTTTGTGTGGCGGAACTGGGGATTGAAGTCAGGCCCTCTAATAGGTCCCAACTGGGGTCCCACTCCAGCCTCAGCCCCCACCCATGGTGTCCCCTCCCACCTTCACACCAGCCATGCTGGAGGCCCTGGACCCATCTCAGGGCCTCCCTCCTTGCTTGGGCTGTTCTCCTTTTCAGTGTTCACTATGGCAAATTCCACAAGCAGGGAACTGGGGCAGCCATGAAATCCTGACCTCTGGGTGAGCTCAGAGATCCAGAAGAGAGTCACAGGATAGGACATCCAGTGGCAGAAATAGACTCCGAGCCCCTCCCTGCCCCTGGCTATTCCATGTGGCCTTCTCCTTCCAGGTGTTGTAGGTTGGCTCTGTGTGTGTGTGTGTGTGTGTGTGTGTGTGTGTGTGTGACACAGGACTGAACCCAAGAGCTCTGCACTGAGCTACAACCTCAGGCCTTTTTATTTTTCATTTTCAGAAAGGGTCTTGCTAAGTTGCCCAGGTAGGACTTGAGATCCCCCTGCCTCAGCCTCCCAGAGAGCTCAGGCTTTGCAGATGCACCACAGGCCCAGCTTTGTGGGCTCTTCACCTCCTGGGGCCTGTGGCATGCCGTCCTTGGTCCTGGGTGCGCAGGCAGGAAGGACGACAAGGTGGCGGGCCGGGCCAGCTCTGCAACCCTTCGGCGCCTGCTGTCCCCAGAGGGCAGTGGGCTCCAAGGCCGGCGCCCCAGGTGGTGCCCCCAGCAGGGCGCAGGCTGGGCATCAGCTCAGCAGGCAGCCGCCCTTCTCCCTGAAGGGGTTGGTGTCCTCAGGGACGCCCTTCAGCAGGGCGTCGCTCCCCGCCTGGGCCTCCACGTAGTCTTTGATCTCCTTCCCTGTCCTGGAGATCTGGGAAGGCAGAGAGGGCTCGGCCTCGCCCCTTCCCGGCACCCAAGATCTGTCCATCCAGGACAGGTGGGAGCTGGACCAGAGGCTGAGCAGAGCAGGGCCAGGGGCCAGGGAGGGGGGCTCACAGTACAGGGACCACAGGGTCTTACTACAGATCAGACTGACAGTGATCCTCCTGTTTTCAGTCTCTTAAGCGCTGGGCTCACAGGCGTGAGCCACCATGCGCAGTCCCATCGTGCCCCGGGGGCGGGGCTGGCACGGTGCGCTGAGGATTGAACCAGGCTGCTGCCCTCTGCCTAAGCAGGCGCTTTAATCCACTGAGGTATATAACTGGGCCTCCTGCTTGGTTTTTGAGGCAGGGTCTTGCTGTCTGTCCCAGGCCTCCAACTCAGTGCTATCCTCCTGCTTCAGGCTCCCAAGTGTGGGGGTGACAAACCCTGCCCCCTGCTCAGAGCTGCCCTGGAAAAGCCCCTCCGTCTCTCTAGAGAATCTGGAGCTCCCAGACCCGATGGGAGGAGAAAGTAGCTGCAGGGGACCAGGGGCGGCAACTCACCGGAACCCGAGGGGTCTTCACCTCTCTCTTCAGCTGCTCCACCTGCATCCGCAGCAGCTCCTTCTCGCTGAGGTCCTGGGCCATGGTGGCCTGGAGAGACCTGGGCAGGGTTGGCAGTGTCAGCTCACCAGCTGCAGACACCAGCTCCGAGCCAGCTCAGTGGCTGCCTCACTGGGTGACCGCAGGGAAGACTCAACCTCCCCCAATCTCAATTTCTCCATCTGCAAAATGGGTATAAAATACTGGCAGCACCCACTTCACACCATTATTGTTCTAAGCATATGACATACACAGAATCTTTAATATGCTACCTAGGACAAAATACATATAACAATTTTTTTTAAAGCCTTTATTGCTGGTGCAGGAGGGCTGCTGGAGAGTACTAGGCTCAACAATTATTATTACTAATAATAGCATCATTAGTCTAGGCATGGGGGTGCATGCCTGTAATCCCAGCACTCGGGAGGATCTCAAATTCAAATTCAGC